TGTCAGAGTAGTTAGTAACTGGAATGCTCTAGGAAGTGATGTGGTGGAGGCTGACTCCATACACAGTTTCCAATGTAGATATGATAGAGCCCAGTAGGTTCAGGAATATGTACACCAGTTGATTGACGGTTGAGAGGCGGGACCAAGGAGCCAGAGCTCAACCCCCGCAAGCACAACTAGGTGAATACACACACACACACACACACACACACACACACACACACACACACACACACACACACACACACACACTTTCTAATGCATTGGAATGCATTAGGAAGTGATGTGGTGGAGGCTGACTCCATACACAGTTTCAAGTGTAGATATGATAGAGCCCAATAGGCTCAGGAACCTGTACACCTGTTGATTGACGGTTGAGAGGCGGGACCAAAGAGCCGGAGCTCAACCCCCGCAAACATAACCGGGTGAGTACAACTAGGTGAGTACACACACACACACACACACCCATACACATATGTACGTACGTATCTACACACACACACATACATATATATGGATAGAGTTCCTTTTACTTGATGCATCTGTTCACCTAGCAGTAACATGGTACTTGGGTGTTAGTCAGTGCGGGCTGCATCCTGCAAATGGGTGCGCAAGAGAGAGCAATATATGTAGTAGATATGATAAAGAAAAAGTACTCCTTGAGTCAATACATTAGACACTCGACGGTTAGAAAGGCGGGGTCCAAGAGCTAGCAGCTCGATCCTGGAGGCAAACAATAGTAAATACAGATAGTAAACACACAGACACATGTACATAGGTAATTTTTATAATTGTATATTTTGAAAGATATAAAGAGGGATAAGAGCGGATAAAGTCATTGTGAGTAATTGTGTGAACATTGAGTAAGGTGATTGTTAGAGGCAGAGACTGAGGGCGTCTCGCCTACTCTCCTCTCTTTGTTCCAGTAACCACCTCACTCTCCTCCTCCTCCTCCACCTCCTCTTCCACCTCCTCCTCCTCCATAAAGTGCCTCAACATCTCACCACCCATTTACAGTCCAGTTTGTCCTATACTACGAGTTCACCATTATAAATGGTTAACTCTGGTCCAGCGAGTTAGCTTGTTAATTCATGGGTTTGGCGGTAGTTTGCAACTTGGAGGCCGGCTCTTATTGATTCCCCCGCGTCTCAGTTGACGGTTTCCATTTATTGTCTCGATTTATTTCCTCCCTCCCCCCTTTTTATTATATTTTTGGCCCGATAAGAAATAGTCTCGTGACATTCTTGTGTTTCACGGCACTCGCATGAGGAGATAGGCAGACACTACGTCAAGGGTGAGAGAGGAAGCCTGCTAGAGGGAATTCCTGCGCTACGCTCCACACACACCCGGTTATATAAATCCTGGCCCATGTTGCGGCTCTGATTCTATATTGATAATGTAATAACAGTTGCTTGCGTGGCTATACCTCCTTCAAGCTTTATAGTTGTTTTAGAGTTACCTGGATTGTGTGTGTGTCTTCGTCGGCAAGGATTGGGCATGGCTGTAATGGGAGTTATGATAAGAGTATATGCTGGGGGAAGAGCGCCCCACAGCCACCCGGCCAGCCAGAGAGAGCCAGAGAGAGCCCCAGCCAGCCAGCCAGAGACCCAGAGCCAACCAGCCAGCCAGCTAGCCAGCCAGCCAGAGAGAGTCAGAGCCAGCGAGAGCCAGCCAGACAGCCAGAGCCAGTGAGCCAGTCAGAGAGAGCCAGCCAGCCAGAGAAAGCCAGAGCCAGTCAGTCGGCCAGCCAGTCAGCCAGAGCCAGCCAGCCTGCCAGCCAGCCAGCCAGCCAGTCAGCCAGCCAGCCTGCCAGCCAGCCAGCCAGTCAGCCAGCCAGCGCCAGTCAGCCAGCCAGCCAGCCGAGGGAGTGAGTAAAAGAGGAATGGTTAGAGTGAGAGTAAAAACGAGCAGGGTCAGTAATTGGAGAGTAGGAGGAGAGGGAGTACGGGAATATGAGAGGAAAGTGCAGTTGGAGTTTGTTTACAAGCGAGATACTGCCCTTGGTGCTGAGCTGGTAGTGAGTGTGTGTGTGTGTGTGTGTGTGTGTGTGTGTGTGTGTGTGTGTGTGTGTGTGTGTGTGTGTGTGTGTGTGTGTGTGTGCGTGCGTGTTCCCAGGGGGAATGGGAGGTGTTCACACGCGAGAATGTGACACTGCAGAACTTAATTTTCCGAGCCGGGATACAATCTACAACAGTTGTCTAACTCGCATATATATATGTTTACTGCTAGGTGAACAGAGGCATCAGGCGTTAGGGAACGTGCCCAAGCTCACTGGCCTTCACGACTATTTATTAATTATATTTATGGTTTAATCACTTAGCATCGTAGCGTTGAGTGCGTTGAGAGAGGCATCCAGCACTTGGGGGAGCGTTGAGAGAGGCATCCAGCACTTGGGGGAGCGTTGAGAGGCATCCAGCACTTGGTTGATGGGGTTCTGGGAGTTCTTCTACTCCCCAGAGTAGAAGACTTGAGAGAGTTTGGTCCACTAGGCTGTTGCTTGGAGCGGCAGCAGGTACACTAGGGGCAGGTGGGGGAGGCAGCAGGTACACTAGGGGCAGGTGGGGGAGGCAGCAGGTACACTAGGGCAGGTGGGGGAGGCAGCAGGTACACTAGGGGCAGGTGGGGGAAGCAGCAGGTACACTAGGGGCAGGTGGGGGAGGCAGCAGGTACACTAGGGGCTGGTGGGGGAGGCAGCAGGTACACTAGGGGCAGGTGGGGGAGGCAGCAGGTACACTAGGGGCAGGTGGGGGAGGCAGCAGGTACACTAGGGCAGGTGGGGGTGGCAGCAGGTACACTAGGGCAGGTGGGGGAGGCAGCAGGTACACTAGGGGCAGGTGGGGGAAGCAGCAGGTACACTAGGGGCAGGTGGGGGAGGCAGCAGGTACACTAGGGGCAGGTGGGAGGCAGCAGGTACACTAGGGGCAGGTGGGGGAGGCAGCAGGTACACTAGGGGCAGGTGGGGGAGGCAGCAGGTACACTAGGGCAGGTGGGGGTGGCAGCAGGTACACTAGGGCAGGTGGGGGAGGCAGCAGGTACACTAGGGGCAGGTGGGGGAAGCAGCAGGTACACTAGGGGCAGGTGGGGGAGGCAGCAGGTACACTAGGGGCAGGTGGGGGAGGCAGCAGGTACACTAGGGGCAGGTGGGGGAGGCAGCAGGTACACTAGGGGCAGGTGGGGGAGGCAGCAGGTACACTAGGGGCAGGTGGGGGAGGCAGCAGGTACACTAGGGCAGGTGGGGGTGGCAGCAGGTACACTAGGGCAGGTGGGGGAGGCAGCAGGTACACTAGGGGCAGGTGGGGGAAGCAGCAGGTACACTAGGGGCAGGTGGGGGAGGCAGCAGGTACACTAGGGGTAGGTGGGGGAGGCAGCAGGTACACTAGGGGTAGGTGGGGGAGGCAGCAGGTACACTAGGGGCAGGTGGGGGAGGCAGCAGGTACACTAGGGGCAGGTGGGGGAGGCAGCAGGTACACTAGGGGCAGGTGGGGGAGGCAGCAGGGAAACAAGGCATGTGAGTCATCAACACAAGAGATAATAGACAGTTTAGGTGGGAGGAAATTCCACCATAAACCCTGAGAATAAAGCTACTCACGGTACCGGAAACACGCCATCCAACACTCCCAGGCTTACCTGCAAAACAAACAATAAAATGTATTGTAGCCTACCTTCCAATAAACAGAAGAATAATAAACCAAAAAATATATTTACATCGAGACTGTAAAACTATTACAAATAGGTAACAAAGTATTAGAGGTAAAATATTATGAAGGGGGTGCAGGCGGACAACATTGTTGTGCGGGTAACAGGGTTAACCTTTAGCAGATGTAGGCTAGGCAACCCGTGTAAGTTATCAAGGACGTGCGCCATTACTACCCCATGTTGGCCGCAGAATGTTAAAGACGGGGTACCGCTCTCACTAGGTTATTCCCGGGCATTAACATGGACCAGCATGAGAGGCTTCCCTCCAGCGTGCTCCTCATCTCGTCTCGTCTCTCTTGTTTTACTGCTCTGTGGTTCCGTCAATCATGAGACACGTGGGTGGTAGGACGTACACCGGGAGGTGTACACCACGAGGTGAGGCCTCCTGCCACTAGGACGGAGAGAGATTGCGACACATGTGAGCGCACTCGCTGCGGCCCCAACCTCTCCACCCTTCAGCGACGCAACACACAGGAGGTGGGGGTCACAGAACATAGGTTTTCTTCATGATATACAAGCTCAATGACTAGTTCCATAATCTTTAGCCTATAAGGGGACTTCAACGTCAGGTACCTCAATAACTCCACAGAAGCGACAGTTTTGACAGTGAGAGATACGGTAATACAGAACATGGCCGGAGCGTAGTAGAAAATAAGTCCCGTTGCGGAGTTAGGATTCCATGACCACGATTAGAGAACACGCGTGTGAATGAACATGACGGGGTCTATTACTCCAACTTTCCACCTGTAAATATACGTACCTACCCTTTGCGACGGTTCCGGGGAACAACGTCCCCGCGGCCCAGTCCCTGACCAGGCTTCCTGGTTTGTCATCAGGTCAACCAGGCGAACCTAGTTACTTTGTGTTGATTTCGGGGACAGCCAACCAATATACGATATATTCCTGAGATATATTCCTGAAATAAATGTTGAAGGAACTGTGTGAATTCATCAAGGATACTCTCTCATTTTCAAGTCCGACCTAATAATACATACAAAAATAATACAGAAGCAGCAAAGGCAATAACAATGAAGCAGCAGAAGCAACGACAATGAAGGAGTAGAAGCAACTACAACGAAGGAGCAGAAGCAACTACAATGAAGGAGCAGAAGCAACAACAATGAAGCGGCAGAAGCAACTACAATGAAGGAGCAGAAGCAACAACAATGAAGGAGCAGAAGCAACTACAATGAAAGAGCAGAAGCAACAACAATGAAGGAGCAGAAGCAACTACAATGAAGGAGCAGAAGCATCAACAATGAAGGAGCAGAAACAATAACAATGAAGCAGCAAAAGCAGCAACGATGAAGCAGCAGTGGAAACAAGTAACAAGGCAACAACAGGGAGAAGGGGGAGGTAACAACATGCAACAGCAGTAATGGAAGCAGCAACAGCAGTAATGGAAGCAGCAACAGCAGTAATGGAAGCAGCAACAGCAGTAATGGAAGCAGCAACAGCAGTAATGGAAGCAAATACCACAGGCGAAAGCAATAACAGCCTCATATAATAGGCCCCATAAGCCAATAGACCTCTATAGCTTTCTCTAAGCAACATAAACAGCAGCAGAAAAAAACAATGCAGAAGTAACAATGGCAGCCAAATAATACAAAAGCATAACCAGACTCAGCAGCAGTGGATACACCACAGACAACAGCAGCAGAACCACCACAAGCAACAACAGCAGATACACAACAAACAACAGCAGCAGAACCATCACAAGCAACAGCAGCAGATACACCACAAGCAACAGCAGCAGATACACCACAAGCAACAACAGCAGATACACAAGCAAGCAGTAGATACACCACAAGCAGCAGAACCATCACAAGCAACAGCAGCAGATACACCACAAGCAACAGCAGCAGATACACCACAAACAACAGCAGCAGATACACCACAAGCAACAACAGTGGATACACCACAAGCAACAACAGTGGATACACCACAAGCAACAGCAGTTGATACACGACAAGCAACAGCAGCAGATACACCACAAGCAACAACAGTGGATACACCACAAGCAGCAACAGTGGATACACCACAAGCAACAGCAGCAGATACACCACAAGCAACAACAGTGGATACACCACAAGCAACAACAGTGGATACACCACAAGCAACAGCAGTTGATACACCACAAGCAACAGCAGCAGATACACCACAAGCAACAATAGTGGATACACCACAAGCAACAACAGTGGATACACCACAAGCAACAGCAGTAGATACACCACAAGCAACAACAGTAGATACACCACAAGCAACAACAGTAGATACACCACAAGCAACAGCAGCAGATACACCACAAGCAACAGCAGTGGATACACCACAAGCAACAGCAGTGGATACACCACAAGCAACAACAGTGGATACACCACAAGCAACAGCAGTGGATACACCACAAGCAACAACAGTGGATACACCACAAGCAACAGCAGTGGATACACCACAAGCAACAACAGTGGATACACCACAAGCAACAACAGTGGATACACCACAAGCTACAGCAGTAGATACACCACAAGCAACAACAGTGGATACACCACAAGCAACAACAGTGGATACACCACAAGTAACAACAGTAGATACACCACAAGCAACAACAGCAAATACACCACAAGCAACAGCAGCAGATACACCACAAGCAACAACAGTGGATACACCACAAGCAACAACAGTGGATACACCACAAGCAACAACAGTGGATACACCACAAGCAACAACAGTAGATACACCACAAGCAACAACAGTGGATACACCACAAGCAACAACAGTGGATACACCACAAGCAACAGCAGTAGATACACCACAAGCAACAACAGTGGATACACCACAAGCAACAACAGTAGATACACCACAAGCAACAACAGTGGATACACCACAAGCAACAACAGCAAATACACCACAAGCAACAACAGTGGATACACCACAAGCAACAGCAGTGGATACACCACAAGCAACAACAGTGGATACACCACAAGTAACAACAGTGGATACACTACAAGCAACAACAGTGGATACACCACAAGCAACAACAGTGGATTCACCACAAGTAACATCAGCGGATACACCACAATCAACAGCAACAGTAATGGATGCACCACAATCTGATGGCTGAGTGGACAGCGTTCGGGATTCGTAGTCCTAAGGTTCCAGAATCGATCCCCGGCGGAGGCAGAAACACACGGGCAGTTTCCTTCACCTTGATGCACCTGTTCACCTAGCAGTAAATAGGTACCTAGGAGTTAGACAGCTGCTACGGGCTGCTTCCTGGGGGTGTGTAACAAAACGGAGGTCTGGTTGAGGACCGGGCTGCAGGGACGCTAAGTCCCGAAATCATCTCACGATAACTCAAGATAAAGCAACAACAGTGGATTACACCCCCAATCAACAGCAACAGCAGTGGATACACCACAATCAACAGCAACAGCAGTGGATACACCACAATCAACAGCAACAGCAGTGGATACACGACAATCTACAGCTACAGCAGTGGATACACCACAATCTACAGCAACAGCAGTGGATACACCACAAGCAACAGCAGACTTTTTACTTTCTTTTACTCTGACATTTTACTCCTGTTCCCAAAGCCATCCCAAAATGAAACTTATACCAAAGAGAGAATGCATTTAACTGTACTATACAAAATTTTTTCCCAATAAATTCAGTGATACTTAACTTATTCCTAAGGTAGGTATTCACTTTTTAATATGCTATACAGTATATCGAAAGTTAAATGCTGCATCATGTGATCATGAAGTGAAAATATTATGTACTTAATCTAAAACTAATTTCGATGAAAAATTTCTTCTTTAGCTTTGAAACAAGCATGATATGAAGGTTATACCTCTTTAGGAGAAAAGTTTATTAATTTTCTTTTTGAGCTTGTGAGCAAAAATTTTCTATTCTTTCACATTGGCAATCCTGCTGTATGAATATCATGCACAGCGGAGTGCTAAAATTTGTCATATACATGTTACTTTATATACTTTACCATCCTACCAAATTTCACAAAAACTTCAAATGGTCGGGTTGAAAAGTTTTATAAGAAACTTTTTTGTGGTGATCTTGAGATGATTTCGGGGCTTAGCGTTCCCATGGCCCGGTCCTTTACCAGGCCTTCTTTTTGCAGCCTGTCCTCCAAAAATGGGGAGGTAAGTGTAACAGCACAAGTGTAATTATGTACTATTCCTAGCAGTCAGGAATTGTACTTATTTTCACTTAGTATTAAACCGTACTGTCAAATATATTGTGAATATTTAAGTTTACCTGAAAAGCTGAATAGAAAACCACGACCTAACATAACCTTCTTCGTACAGTATTTGAAGATAAGCATTTTATTGTTTCTTAATTACAATTAGTACTTAACCTGTAGCTGTAATGATATTACAGTTTTATAAAACAAATAAAACAAAACTATTGCAATAAATTGTAAAGTAACTCAGGATATTTTCAAATTTTGTATAAAATCTCTATTGTTTAATAAAACTGAAAAAGAAATTTCTGATATTTAAAACCTGTGTATAGCAAATTGAACTTGAAAAATTCATCCTAAAATTCTGTGTGTCTTGACAGAAAATGAGGAGAATAAATGGGGAGGTAAATGTAATGGCACAAGTAAGTGTAATCATGTACTATTCCTAACAGTCAGGAAATGAACTAATTACACTTAGTATTAAACCGTACTGTCAGTCCATAGGATGGGTTGCCTTTTTGTTACACATTCCCAGGAAGCAGCCCGTAGCAGCTGTTTAACTACCAGGTACCTATTTACTGCTAGGTAAACAGGTGCATCAGAGTGAAGGAAACTCTGCCCATTTGTTTCCTCCTCTGCCGAGGATCGAACCCGAATCATGGCATGGCATGGAACAACTCACAATTGACAGTCGAGAGGCAAAAATAAAGAGCTGAGCTCTTTAGTTAAATAAAGAGCTCAACCCCTGCAGGTACAATCCATAAAATTTAAGGACTAAAGTTCATATAATCAAAATACAGTATATTTAAGGTTTAATTAATTAAAAAATTTACAATATGGCAAAAGAAAAAAATAATTCAGTTACATCATAATGGTGTTATGAGATTTTTGTGAGGGTCAGTTTGGCATAGCATCCCATGGCACTTTTTAGATTCCTCTTTATTTCACATATGGCCTTTTGCTCTCTAAGCCTCTCCTTAATTTTATATGATTCTTGCAGATTTAGCTCAATCGTTTATTCCTCTACATAGCCTTCCTTGTCATTCTTGGAAGTGGAGCATTTGAGATGTTCTGCAATTTTTTTTCTTCACCAATAGAGAGAACACTGTTCTCGTTCCAGTTTGCATCTCTTTCTCTTTTCCTTCAAGGAATAAGACTTGCACATATTTCTAGTGATACTGTGCCTATTTTCTCAAATCACTGGATTGCATTATCTAGTTTTTTTTTCCATGATATTTATTTGAGATCTTGGTTATTTGTACCAGTTAATCAGTTCATAATTAAAATTGTATTTACTCAATTCTCCTCTTGAATTTGAGACTGGCTGCACAGGTCAATTGTCCATGCTTGTCTGAACTCCCATTAAGTTGTGATCTGAGTAGGAAGTATTTAATTAACATCATTATATTCCTAATCGTTTCATCATTGATTGTAAAAAGAATTTTTTTCTAATTTGCTGTTTTAGTTAAATCACATCACATCTGCATGAGGTCATTTGTTTGTGACTGTTTATTTAGACTGCTTCTCAGGATTTTCTTTGGTATAAACTGTATATACCACATTTTACCATTTCAGGTGCCATAAGTTGAAATCACTAAGATGATGTTTGGGGCAGGGTTTGTGAGGCTTTCTAGCAATACAGTACATATTTTATTATCATAGTTGGTCTTTAAACTGCTGAGGTTTGCTTCTAGTGATTTATATATAAGGACAATCAGCATTTAGAATTTATATTTTGATTATCAACACTTCCATATCAATGATATTATCACATCATATCATCTGTGGTGTTTGATCGTTCAATGCAGATTTAGCGTGTCTTTGAAGTATGTACAGGCTGACCTCACCATGCTTGATACCCTGTAGCATATGTTTCCTGTCACTCCTGAAAAAAATTGAATTCTGATATTCATATCTCACTGTTGTAATAGTCCTTTGTGTGAGTTTCAGTTACCTGAAGCATACCTGGAGAGGGTTCTGGAAGTTTTTCAACCCCTTCGAGCCTGACCTGAGGCCAGGCTCGACTTGTGATAACGTGGTCCAACAGGCTGTTGTTTGGAGCGGCCTGCAGGCCCACATATCCACCACAGCCTTGGTTGGTCCAGCACTTCTTGAAGTAAAGAATCTAGTTTTCTCTTAAAGACATCCACGGTTGTTCCGGCAACATTTCTTATGCTCAGTGGGAGGATGCTGAACAACCGTTGACCTCTGATGTTTATACAGTGTTCTCTGATTGTGCCTATGGCACCCCTGCTCTTCACTGGTTCTATTCTGCATTTTCTTACATTTTTTCACTCCAGTCTGTTGTTATTTTACTGTGTAGAATTGGTACCTGGCCCTTCAGTATATTCCATGTGTATATTATTTGATTCTAGTGAGTAGAAAGAGAGCATTTGGAGAGCTTTGAGGTGATCCCAATAATTTAGGTACTGTATCACATCTATGTATGCTGTATATGTTCTCTGTACTCCTGTCAGTTCTCAGTGTCGATTGCTCCAGGGATTTAGGCATCTGTTTGGGGTTATTTCCTGTGTTGGTTCTTCTCTGTGTACTAATGTCAGTTCTATGTGTACTCTGTACTCATATCTTCTAATGTCGGAAGACCTTACCTTCAAAGAGCCCAATAAAGTAGCCGTCACAACTGCAAAATAATTGACAGATTGGATAACAAGAACCTTTCACATTAGAGATGCTATACCTATGATGATACTCTTCAAGACACTAGTGCTCTCTAGGGTGGAATACTGTTGCATAAGGACATCCCATTTCAAAGCTGGAGAAATTGCTGACCTGGAGAGCGTGCAGAGATCCTTTACTGCTAGAATCCACTCAGTAAAACATCTAAACTATTGGGACGGACTAAAATCCTAAATCTGTATTCTCTAGAGAGCAGGTGGGAGAGATACATAATGATTTACAAGTGGGAAAAGAATAAAGAGAGGGCTGCTCCCAATCCTGCACACAGAAATAGCACCACATGAGACCAGAAGGCATGGCAGGATGTGTAGAATACCCCCGTTGAAGAACAGAAGTGCAAAAGGTACCCTGAAAGAGAACTCTATCAACATCAGAGGCCCGAGACTGTTCAACACGCTTCCACTACACATAAGGGGCTTAACTGGCCGACCTCTCACAGTGTTCAAGAGAAAAAACTATTGGCACCTCCAAAGGATACCTGATCAACCAGGATGTGATTCATACATAAGGCTGCAAGCAGCCACATCCAACAGCCTGGTTGACCAGTCCAGCAACAAGGAGACCTGGGCGATGACCGGGCCGTGGAGATGCTGAACCCCGAAACCAACTCAAGGTATACTCAAGGTATGTACTCCCTCTATTACAGCAACCTCTCCAGCTCTGAAGGGGAAAGTGAGTACTGAGCAGTACTCAAGATGGGACAGCAAATGTGATTTGAACAGTACAGCCATTGTGATGGGATCCCTGGATTTGAAAGTTCTCGTAATCCATGCTATCATATTTCTTCCTGATGCAATATTTGCTTGGTTATGCTCCCTAAACATTAGGTCATCAGATATCCTTATTCACAAATCCTTTACATGTTGCTTTCCTACTATGGGCAGATTTGATTGTGTTTTGTACCCTGTATTATGTTTAAGGTTCTCCTTTTTACCATACCTGATTACCTGGAATTTATCACTGTTAAACATCATGTTAGTTTCTGCTGCCCAGTCAAAAACTTTATTAATACTGTACTAGTATGTGCTTGTAATTTTTCAATGTCTTCAGCAGAGGTAATTTTCATGCTGATTTTTGTCATCTGCAAAGGATGATACAAAGCTGTGACTTGTATTTTTATCTATATCTTATATGAGAATAAGGAAAAGCAGTGGTGCAAGGACTGTACCCTGAGGTACAGAGCTTTCAACTGTGTTCGAACTCGATTTTATTTGATTAACTGT